ATTTTCTCGGCTAAAACTCGACAATTTATCAGAGCTTATTGTGTACGGAATTGACACAAAATCATAGCTGATTCTGCGCGGATTTTGCGTTGAAATATTTCGCAAATTACCGTGGGAAAACTTTACAATTTATCAACCCCGATTTTGTACACAATCAACACAAAATCAAGACTGATTCCGCTCAAAATCAGTACTGTAATTTTGCACTACCGGTCAGCGCTGAATCAGTAATGAATTGGTGCCGTTTCATTGAAGATTCACCTGCAATTTCAGTCTGAAATCAGTAATGATTCTGCACTGATTCGTTCCTGATGCTTTCAGTAGGGAAGAGGCGCAAATTACAAGAAACATCAACAAATGGAGTCAATGTCAGTTGCACATTTTCTCAAAGCAAATTTGAAAGAAATGTTGTAAACTTCGTACTGAATTGTCAATTGTCTGCAAGAATAGTCGAAAGCAAATGGCTTCGAAATATATTCGATGGTAAGAGATAGTTTTCTTAATAAACTTTTTCAAACGTTTTTTCATTCGCGATTTTTCATTGGCAAGTTATTGGTACATAACCGTTAATCAATTAATTGCATTTTTCATTTATATGATCTAGTATAATAAAAATTTCGTAATTATATATTTATTATTTCTTCATCGTAAAAATAATATTTATCAAATTTCAGATTTCCACATTCGATCAAAAACTAGCACAATTCTTACCCTACCAAAAAATGCATATGGGATATTATATGGTAAGCCATAAGATAAATTGTATGGTTTATCATACAAAATCCCACAAGATATCCCATATGCTGTCCCGATTCAAAAACTCATATGCGCTCCCATATGGTTTCCCATATGATTTTCCGATTCGGAAAAATTTAGTATGGGAACACTTTTGCCTGCATCCAGACATATTTGTAATTTATCACAAACTGATACAAGGAGAATGAATTGATGAATAATGTGAGTTTAAATAACAATGAAAAGAAAATTTTTATTAGTTTAGTTCAAGATTGGTTTTATTGATATTATAATGAATATTTTAAATTACACAATTTATCAATAGTCATACAAATTTGGCAATGCTGCAATAAATTTTCTATTACCTAAATGAGTAGAAGACATAAATACACAAATCATCATTATGTCAGAAGTATCAGCTTTCAGCAATGAATTGTCAATGTATAACACATTATAAATATGTTCACTTAATTTACCCGTGACTACAATAGTTTTATAAATAACTATTCCTTTTTTAACTTCGTCAACTGCAAACTGAAAAATTTCTATGAATTGCCCATTTTTTAATTGCGCATAGCTATTATTCGATCGCATGTTTCGATTGGTACTCGTAGTATACAAACAACCATCTTTGACAGCTCGCGAATACAATAATGAAGTCATAGGCATTTGAAAAGTTTCGCACAAATTTGGAGACATTATCAAACTTCGTCCTAAATACATAATATTGTCGATTCTCACAGTATCTATGGATTCACTAGTTGAAAACTTTTCACAATATATTTTTACTTTTGCCTTCGATGATCGTTCGCTTAAACATTTTTCTAATTTACAAACAACATTTTGCATATTTAAATATCGTGATATTTGTAAGTTCACTCCGTTTGCACAGTGTATTGCCTGTAACAAATCGTGATTCGCTGCCTCAAATGGGAATGTAGAATGTGCAAACAATGGTCCCCAATTTTCAACGCTAGGGGCTAAATGAAGTAGCTGATGAATATTATAAGTCATATTTTTTTTCCCATATTCCTTTCGAGTTAATCTTACAAATTCATGAAGCATTGCGTCAGCTTCATCCAATTTTTCATACGTAATTTCACGTTGCAACAAAATATATAGAGCGTTGACAAATAACGACCAATAATTAAATAATTTTTCTTTTAAAACCAGCGAAAACACTGGTAAACTATAATATAATATGAAATTTTCCCATTCCCGTGCTTTCCACTGTGCTCGATCATCTAATGATCTCGTTAGTCTAGCAAGTTGGTGGGGTACTTTTATATCAAGTAACAAAAGATTCATTTTTTTTAATTGATCCCCTGACAAATCACTCAAAATACACTCAGTAATTCGTTTTCCCACCCCGCTCAACGCGCAATGCAAATAGTCAACAACAAACCCTATGATTAAATCAAATTTATTTAAAAGCAAAAAAGTACTGACATTTTTCACACCATATACATTTTTTCTCATATCATTTTCAACTAAAGTAGCAGCATGTGCTATAGTACCTTCATGAGTTCTTAATTCTGCTGGTGGTGTTAAATACCGATATCTCATACTTCTAGCGTAATATTCGCCTGCTTGCAAGCACCATCCACAACCATACTCAGCATTATATTGCATGAAGCCTTGCATTGGCGCTCGTGCTACTGCATCAACACACACAACTATTATATACAATTTTATATACAGTGTGTTTTATTTTTAATTGAACATTCAATCCCGTTTTCGGATAGAGAATTTAAATTATTTATAACAGGTTCCAAGAATGCATTCATATCGGGTTTAGATTTTCCGAACCATAGACCAATAGTAATGACATTTTTTCCCGTACAATCGAGTGGAATTTCATTGAGTTTTAAATATATTGGCCAAATGGAATACGTTGAAGATTCGAATCTTGGAGCTCCATCTGTGTTCAATGTTGCTGTAATATAATTGGGTCAAAATAATACTTTTTTACAAAACCGTGCGCACGTATGTCACCGATCTTGACGCGCTTTTGGTATGTTATAGTACATGGTAAAAAGGTCCCAAAAAAAAATTTTTAGACCCCCTCCCCCCTCCTACCCCCCACTTCCGCTACAAACGTCCATTTTCGATCTATATTTTTTCTGAGGACATGAAGCAATTAAAAAATCTGAAAAAATTCACAAAAATATTTTTCAACAATCCAAACAATCTTGAATTTTTTCAGATTTTTTAAGTGCTTCAAGTCTTCAGAAAAAATCATTGAAAATTTTGAAAATCGAGACACGGCGATATGAGTCGATATAGTAAACGGAAATTTTTCCAGTTTTTTATTGCATTGAAAAACATAACCTCAGTTTTTTTCAGATTTTTTCAGATGACCTAACGCACCTTTTGAAGCCAAAAACCGCTTTTTTTGACGAAAATAATTTTTTTAGGACGGTAAGGAGCCTCGAAAAATATGGAAAAAATTTTTTCTTGTTTGTTTCATCAAAATACATAACCTCAAATTTTTTCAGATTTTTTAATTGAAGGCGATAGCTTCTAGAGCCGAAAAATGCTATTTTTAACAAAAAAAGGTTCCTAGAACCCGATGGTTCCGGTGAAAAAATTTGAAAATATTTTTTTTGAATTCCTTGTCAAATTTTCATAAATTTTGACCCTTTCAAAAGTTCGATTGGAGCTTCCTAGCTCAATCTAGAGCATCAAAATAGTTTCATCATTTCTTAATGTGTCTTCAGAAACATCTTCAGAATTTTGCATAAATCTTTGTCCTGCTCTAGATTGAGCTAGGAAGCTCCAATCGAACTTTTGAAAGGGTCAAAATTTATTAAAATTTGACAAGGAATTCAAAAAAAATATTTTCAAATTTTTTCACCGGAACCATCGGGTTCTAGGAACCTTTTTTTGTTAAAAATAGCATTTTTCGGCTCTAGAAGCTATCGCCTTCAATTAAAAAATCTGAACAAACTTGAGGTTATGTATTTTGATGAAACAAACAAGAAAAAATTTTTTCCATATTTTTCGAGGCTCCGTACCGTCCTAAAAAAATTATTTTCGTAAAAAAAGGGCGGTTTTTGGCTTCAAAAGGTGCGTTAGGTAATTTGAAAAAATCTGAAAAAAACTGAGGTTATGTTTTTCAAGACGAAAAAAAACTGAAAAAATTTCCGAGATCTACATCAGCTCATATCGCTGTATCTCGATTTTCAAAATTTTCAATAATTTTTTCTGAAGGCCTGAAGCACTTAAAAAATCTGAAAAAATTCAAGGTTGTTCGGATTGTTGAAAAGTATTTTTGTGAATTTTTTCAGATTTTTTAATTGCTTCATGTTCTCAGAAAAAATATAGATCGAAAATGGACGTTTATACCGGAAGTGGGGGGTAGGAGGGGGGAGGGGGTCTAAAAATTTTTTTTTAGGACCTTTTTACCATGTACTATAACATACCAAAAGCGCGTCAAGATCGGTGACATACGTGCGCACGGTTTTGTAAAAAAGTATTATTTTGACCCAATTATATTTATCATCTAAAGATTTGACAAATTTTCTATAGGCTTTGCCATCATAGATGTGTCTTATAATTTTATCACTTGTTCTATTATGCATTATATTTAAATAATAATCTGCATTTTCTTCGATGAAACTTTTAATCTGATCAGATGGATCAATAAGCATGAACAGATTTTCACACGAAGGATTATTAGATTCGATTTTTTCCGAGCAAATTCGACAAGTTATATATGACTCAAAATGTTCAATTTTGCCAATATTCACTTCACAAATAGGACAAATCCCGTAAAATTCCACTCCACTGCTACTTCTTGATAATATTTTATCGATGAAGTACTTACTTTCACATATTACTTGATCTGAGAAAAGTGTATTGATAAGTTTTAATAAATTTGAAATTTCAGATATGGGAAGCTTATTTTTTAGAGCAAACTTAAGTGACATATTAGGCAAAAATCTGTGAAAACTTTGGCCGCCAGGCGGCAGATGTGGCGTGAGTCGTCATGCGCAGTAATCATTTCGATACACGCATAGTTATTCTGCTTTCTGCTGCATATACTACTGCTGGCTGTCTATACTGAGAGTTTCAATAATATTATAAATATTTTCTAAATTAAAAGTAACGTCATGCGGTGTAAGGTCGAAAGTTGTCAAGGGCTAAAGAAATTTAAATTTCCGAAAAATGAAGATCTGAGAAAGAAGTGGCTAAATGCTATTCGAAGGCCAAATCTGAAAGTAAAGCCAAATGATGGGTTATGTCAAAAACACTTTGCTCCGACAGATATGTACACAGAAAGTATATCAGGTACTGTTTATTTTATGTATAATATTAAATTTAGTTTATGAGATAAATACTTCATCATATTTCTTTTGTATAACTTTCAATGCACTGGGATAAATTATAAAAATAAAAATTTTTATTTATATTATGATTTTATAGGAGGATATGAGATGGATCAAGTTCGTTTGAAACCCAAAACAATTCCAACTATATTTTCTTTCAATGAAATTATCAACTCTGAAACTTTGACATCAAGCAATACTTTGGTAAGTTAGTCAGCAAATTTTTTTAATGAAGTTATTAAAAATATTTTCTTTACTTTTATTAGATCCATGAACCAGAAATAAGTAACAATGTTATCAATGATAATGTCGCTGTGGAAAATTTAAGCAATCTCAGTGTTATGACAGTAGATGATTGCCATGATGATACTATTGTAATTGAAGAAAGTTGCTCAGAAAATACTATGGTGCATTGTGACAATGTGTACGAAGAAGTTGTTGCTGAATCAATTCCTAGTGCTATTCTTGATTGCAATGTGACAAGCAATGTGTCTGTTAATGTGTCTGTTAACAAGGTTAAAATTGTTCAAAAAAAATCTGTGATGACTGAGACTGAGAGAAGTTCAAAATATGATATAGATGACTATAAAAATAAGCCCAGACAGTTACTGCACTTCACAGGTCTAGATCATACAAAATTCATGGCAGTATATTATTCACTAGCTCCAGTTATGCAACAGCTTGAACAGCTTGAAAACAGTATCAGTACTCGTAATCAGTTATTTTTGGTTCTCTGGAAACTTAAAAGATATCCCTGTAACATAGAGTTAGCTGAACATTTCAATGTGACAATTCCTAATGTTAGTTCCATATTCAATCGTTGGATTACTGCCATGTCAAAGTTATGGTCTGTAATTGATCTGTGGCCAAGCCGAGACTTGGTCGACTATTACATGCCTCATACTTTTAAAAAAAATTTTGCTAAAACTAGAGTAACGTTAGATGCCACAGAAATTAGAATTGATGCTCCAGTAAATCCAAAACTAAAACAAGCCACATTCAGCACATATAAAAACGCCAATACTTTGAAAGTATTAGTTGGCACTACGCCTGGAGGTCTCATTTCATATTGTTCTGCAGCTTATGGTGGGTCGACCAGTGACAGACAAATAGTTGAGCGTAGTGATTTACATAAAAAATGTGAACGTGGAGACTTGATAATGGCAGATAAAGGGATTTTAGTGCAAGATTTATTTGCTCCATACGGTGTGACAGTAAATACGCCTACACTGATGTCAAAAGGATCTCTTCCACATAAAACTATCATGAAAGATAGAAAGTTATCAAGGCATCGAGTGCATGTAGAAAGATTAATTGGTGTGATGAAAACATATGCAATACTTGCAAGAAAACTGACACGTTTTGAACTTCCTCTGGCATCTGAAATAGTTGGTGTGTGTATAATGCTGAGCAACTTTAAAGATAATATAATGTGAGTTTTATGGCAAAGAATAATTTGAATTGTAAATGTATTTTGTTAATAATAATAAAGTAAAAGTGTTCATAATAAAGTGTGCTATTAATGATTTTTTGAATAAAAATTTATTTGACCAGACAGTTAGAAATTTTATTACATGCTAATTAAATTATATTAACTTAAATTTTTATTGCCAAATACTGCTTCATAATCTTTAAACATATACTTTTCTATGATAGCGGGCTTTAAGTAATTTAAATAAAATCTATCTAATTTAGACAACATTTCTTGAATAAATTCATCATCTCTTTGTACAGAGATTCTCTTTATATCTATAAACGTGTAAACAATAAAATCACAAAAGTTTCTTTGGGTAGTGTAGAGCTGTCCTTGTACTTGATAATAGTACGGATGCTCTCTATTTAATTCTAACTCCTTATTTGAATTTCTGATAAGATATGGGACTGTTTTTTCATGTATCACAGTATGTCGACAAGAATATGGACACTTAACTTCTATTATAGAATCTAGAAAGAGTAACCTATCAGGAGAGGCTCCAAGATACGGTCTTTCTATAGGTACAAATAATCCACACTTTCTAATGTCTAAGGCATTATTATTTAATTCATTCCATTTTTGTACAGCAATATTTTCATAAATTTTACCATGATCTGTCGCTTTGGACTTGAATGGAACAGGATTAAGAATTTTTTGTACTAATGATTTAGCACCATCTTCATGATCAACTTTAGAACAGCATGAATGGAATATACTTGCCGTTAATCTGATGGATCTTTCCTGTGCCCAAGCAGTACTGTCACTTTGATTGATTGTTTTTAATTCAATCTTCAAAGCCTCTTCTTCTGACAATTCAAGCAAACCTAAAGATTTCAATAATTTTTTTTCATTGGAACATTTGCTATAAAATCCATGATCCCATTCAACTGCAAAAGGATTAGCTGGCTGGGTTAATTGCTTTATGGACATATTATTATTGAATCCCATTCCTGTGATCAAATTTTTAAAATAGTTGTTGTAGAAGATCTTAAAATTCTCAGAGTCATCAACATTAATTTCTACTTTTTCTTGGATTTTGCTTTTTTTAAATTTTTCAGCTTTGATAGGTGAAGCTGTGTATCGCTTGGATGGCCTGTGGAAAGTCTGTAGTCGCTCTGTACATGTTGATTCCATTACAGCACTACCATCACTTTTCCATTTCATTAGCGCTATTAAAGTGCATATTATGTGCTTGCAGTGGGCATTCATTGATTGCCCCACGGGGCAGTCACAGGTAGTTGCAATAATTTCCCCATCTAAACATAAACTGATATCACATATATATGTCATGTGTTTTCTCAATTCAGCTTTGCAGCAACACTTGACAAAATACTTTCCAGCATCTTGACAAAATCTGATGTATCGAAGCCATCCCTCCTCATACATCTTAGTTGCCTTGTCCACTTTCACTTCATACATTTGCAAAAATGCATCCAAATGATACTTAGTAAATGATGGTAAAGGACTTGTTGCATTTATATCCTTGTAATTTACAGGATCAGGAGTTTCAAGTATCGGGTCATTATCCCCTATTGGCTCGAACCCAAAGTTATTATTTTTATCATAATCTTCCAACCTGTGAATCCATCATTCATTTATTATAAACATAATCATAACCTGTATGTGTTTTGACTCCTATTATTGATGCATTGTTACTTTTATTTACCTTTTAACGAGTTCCTCTTTTCTTCCCCACAATCTCTTGGCTCCTCTATCTTTTAAACGTTTTTTAATTTCAGGAAGAGTTAAGTCACCATATCCAATTTCTTTTGATTCCTTTTTTTTGGACATTTTAAAATACGAGCTCTTTCGGGCCTCACGAAAAACGCGTTTCTGCGCATGACGACTCACGCCGCATCTGCCCCCTAGCGGCAAAAGTTTTCACAGATTTTTGCCTAATATAACACTTCGGCTGGAGATTTCGTAGCTGTACTTGAAATTACTTTAAAAAAATCGTCACTTTCCATCATACTCTTCAAATCTTTTGGCTGTGTAACATTATTTTTTCTTGTACCGAAGTCTTCATTATCTTGCAACTCTTGCAATAATAGTTCATCGTAAAATGTTGCTTGACTTGACAGAAGAGTGACCTGAAGCAACGACTATGTGTTAATCATTTGCAATGTTTAGAGGTTCAATAATATTGAAAAAATTCTAAGAACTTACTTCATTCTCATGAATCTGAGAAAATTCTTTTATAATTGAATCATTTAAAGCAAGTTCATATTCCGTATCAAGAGATTGTGACATCTGTTCATCATGTTGATCCATCAATTCATCCCGTGAATTATGATTATTATGCAATATTTGTGTCGTTGAAATAAACTCCTCGTTGCATGATTCGTTTAAATTGGGAAGAGTATCAGGTGATGTTAATTGTGCCCTGATATCAGGACTCGGGAAAGCATTCTTATTGGCGAGTTGTTTCTATTGAACAAACAAAAAATATTTAAAGCTGTAAAGATAAGTTTAAACTACATTTAACAAATATTATCTTTTTCAATGGTGTCAAAAAAATCATTAAAATTTATAATTTTAACAGAAAATTAAAACTACAGCACATTTTTTTTTGTTGAATCACTTGTGTCTTGAAAGTCAGCCTTCCAAAGTAAAGATTTAATATAAAATTTAAAGATTCAAGTTTTGAAAATGTGGACGATAATCAATTGAAAATTAGTAGATAGGGAGAAACAACAATCTCTTGGTTCAGTATAAAATTACATCAAGCTCTAATACCTCTTGCTTCTTGCGATTATTACCATCGTTACCATCGATTGTACCAATAATTTCAAGCATTGTGCAATTTAAAAAAGTTTCTTGAGAGTCAAGTTTAAGGGATCAAGGTATACATAGAATATATTCTCACTTATATTATTGATATAAATGTGATGTCATTTTATGTAACAATAGCACTAAAACAAGGTTTGACAGCTTCAAGTATTTATATAATGTTTTAAACACTTGAAATCATCTTTCAACTGAATTTTAACTGTGTTCAACACTTGAATATACTTGCTCTGTTTATTATTTAGACTTATAAGCTCTGAATTTTAGGTAATTAGAGTTTACAAATAATCCCAAGAAAAGCTTCAAATAAACTAACAAGAAGACCCCTTCAATTACAGGTCATGCATGGTTGTAAGTAAATGTATATACATTAACTCATATAAAGAAAATGAATTAACTACAATTGACATGAAAGAGAAACTGCAGATTCTGAAGCGAGTTTTTTTCTATTTTAATAGGGTGTATTTTGTTCAAGTTCATGTAAATCTTGCTAATGAAATACTCACTGTTTTTCTTTTCGCTTTTCTTGATATTTTTCGCCTTATACGATCGGGTAGGTCACTGTATTTTCCACTTAATAAATAAATTTTATAGTGACGCATTTTTCTGTAGGTTTTTTTTTCACACGTTCACAAAAGGTTAAGAAATAAGTCCCGCGTGCACAGTATACACTATATGTTTGTAGTATGCATCTATGCACTATAATTTAAATAATTTATCATTTTATTTCGTTACATACGGGTTCAGAGTCTAACTAAGCGTGCGTAGAGTTACTCTGTATATGTATGCGCAGCGTTAGTAGTATACGATGTCCGAATGTTCACTCACTGTTATGATTCTGCAAGTGATATATATATATATATAACACACAATGTGGCTGTTAGCTCGTGCGTATGCATTGCAGTATATCTATACATAATCTCACATACACATTATAGCGCGAGCCAACATCGCCATTGCGTGTGTGCCATATAGGCATTAGTTCGTTCGGAGTTTCTCCCACCTTCAGTGCGTTACAAGATTATACTAAGAAAGAAATTGACTCTGGAGTCGAGCCTGCGCGGACAAGAATACAGCGTCGAGCGCAACAGCGAGTATAAGCGCTACAATTCGTACCTTGAAATTCGTTTGTTTCGGCCAACCGATTTTTTCTGTTTCGAGTTCAAACGTTTTGAACAAAATATATTTCATAAAATACAATTATGGCAGTTACGCACGCGAAAGTGATGTTCGTGATGGACAATTATCGCAAAGAAGTTATCGAAATAACAAATATCTTGGAATTCAAAGATACCATTCCTAGCCACAAAACAGATTTCGATTCGAAAAAATTATATAAAACAAAGTGAGAGGATGAAAAAAATCCTGGAGGTGTCATCGTTCCAAGTTTAATTGGTGCTTTAGCATGTAGGTGTATTAAATTTTTTTAATTAATTTTTAAACTTCAGCTATAATTTGTGTACATTTGTCAGGTGGACAAGGAGAAGCTGATAAATTGAAAAAAAAAAAGAATATCATTTCCTGTGATCACTACAAGCGACTTGGAGAAATATTCAGCTGAGTCCACTGTTGAAGAAGACGTACAACAAGAAACATCAAAATTGGAAAAGGTATGATTACTTATGTTTACTATATTTTTATTGCTGGCAGAAAATCAGTAAAATTTATAATTTTTATAGAAAAAGCAAAAGGAAATTCTGAACAAAGCTAAAATTACTGTTGCATCTGGGTACCTGTCAAAAATCAATAATAAGAGAGGCACAACTTCTCGTAAAAGGCTTTTGTACAGCGACAGCGATGAAGAAAATTATGCAATGCCTTCAACTTCGACTAACGATAACATTAGTTTGAACAAATTAGTTCAAAACAGCTCTTCTAGCAAGCTAATGAAACTTTTCAGTATGTACACAATTATTTTTTGTTTATTAATTCCTATAATTTTAATGTATAAATTTATTCATTCATATGTCATGTTTATTTAGATAATTTTGATGATGGACAAAGTCATGACAGTCAGCAAAGTGATCAAGGTATATTTTTTGCTTTCATCTTTGCTTCCTATATTTTTAATGTATAACTTTATTCATTCATATGTCATGTTTATTTAGATAATTCTGTTAATGAACAAAGTGATGACAGTCAGCAAAGTGATCAAGGTATATTTTTTGCTTTCAT